GACGACCACAATTTCCCCCCCACCTAGTCTGTAATTACATTTATAAGAAAAGGTTAATAAAGTGACCTGTGTGGAAACACAAGTGATTGGTGTCTTTCGATGCTCTTTAAGAGAACTCCTTGAAATAATGAGCATCAGGAATTTAACTCTTGTGTGCCAATCTGTGTTAGAAAACCATGGGACAAACAAGGAATCTAAATATTATCAAAGTTTTTTTTTTTTTTTCAAACACGATCCGTCCTTTAGGTCTTGATTAATAATGTATAATAAGCATTTTGAATTATGTAATATTTTTGGATAACCTTTTAAAATGTGGGTTTTTTTTTAAATCTCAAAAGAGATGCCATATATAAAAAATATAAATATAATACAAATATCAGAATAGTAAAAAATATAAATATTTTTCTTAATATTAAATAACTTTACAGGTTTATCCAAACATATTACATTGAGGTCTCAAAGGTCACCTTTCATGCCAAAAACATAATTTGCTCTTTTAAAAGAGCTTAACATTTAATCTATACATTGTTCAATCAGATTTGCTAACAAATGTATAGATTGAGAAAAAATAATTTTAAAATGTGATTTTAAAAACCTTTGAATCATTTCTTCGGCATAGACTCTGTTAGCTCGTTTTTCTTTCCCACAGACTACTTTTGATAGTTTTTTTACAAAAATAACAATGTACAGCAGTGACAAGCAGACACGTACGAGAGAGTGGACTATTGAACAAATAGTCTTATTACAATACAGAGATCACTGTATGACTAACATTAGTCATGAGAAAAAAACAAACAAAAAAACAAAAAAAAACATTATGTTGAACAGTATTAAAGGGATGGTAACTGTAACGGAGCTTCCTGTACCCCAGTTGGGTACCTCCGTAGACGGATGCTCCTAGTGCTCACCAAGGACTCCAAGCACTCCACCAGACACCATCAGCACCGCAGTAATAGACAGCCACTAGAGGAAGACTTAACCCAGCAAGGTAAATATTGCAGTTTACGAAAACTGCAATAATTACACTTGCAGAGTTAAGGATAGTGGGAGATAGCACCCAGACGACTCTAATGGGCAGAAGTGGTCTTGTTGCCTGGCGTATCCCTTTAAGCAGAGCAACATAGTTATATTAGAAATAATCTTCCCATTCAACGTTTGCTTTAAAAAATAAAAAAATGCATTATTGTGTTTGTTGCGCTTTTCCCTGAAACCCCAACATGTCCAGTCATGTAAATATGCAGAGAGGAAGAAAAGAGAAGAAGAAAATGCGACTGGCAACAGGAGAAGAGAGAGATAAAAAAGAGGAGAGCAAGACAAAAAGAAAGTACTATAGGAACAAGCTAGACTTGTTCCGGCTCAATCACCTCCTCCCCCCTGGTCCTGGTCTCTAGGGATGTGCATGGGCAAAAAATGTGGTTAGGTTTGGAAATTCGGGTAAGAAAATAAAATTGGCAATTCAGCAGTTCGGCACTTTGGCAATTCGGTTCAGTTAGGCACTTCCGAAATTCCGGACTTCGGCAATTCGGAACTTCGGCAATTCGGAACTTCGGCAATTAGGAATTTCGGCAATTTGGGACTTTGGCAATTCGGAACTTAGGCAATTCGGGGCATCTTTAGGGCTCCCTAACCGTACCCCTAACCCTACCCCTAATTTCCCAAAAACTACTAATTTAATACAAAATTCCGATACAAAATGTCGGCAATGTTTAAAAAAATCCCTAACTTTATTAAACAATAATGTAATGGTGGGTCTGCTTTATATTAGCTAAACATTGAGACTAAAAGCCTCTTGGAAAATGCAAGCTGGAAAGCATTCAGATGGTAGAAACAGATACGTGTAAATAAATATAACTGCTCAGTAAAAAAAAATAAACAAACAAAATGAAAGGTTAATGATCACAAAATAATGCTTCTATTTTTATCCTTATTAGACGATATTTTTTACAAACAAAAAAACACTTGTAAAAACAATTACCAATACGTATTTGGGATTGCCCATTATTATAATATGCATCAATGTTAGTTGTTTATCAAGTATATGTACTTTTGTATAAATGGAATGATTCATCTAAATTGAGCACCTTACTGGGAGATCTCAAATGGTTATAATAAATTTAATTTAGACTATTTATCCCCCTGTAAAATAATCACCTTCAAGAGAAGGGCAGATGTGCTTTGTATAACAATACAGACACTTGAAAGAATTCTCTTGGTAGATTTTGTTGTTTTTTCCTTTTTCAGTCAGAGCACACTGTAGAAAACAGATTAGGTTTGAATAGTCCTTAATGTACAAATTAAGCAAAGGAAATCAAACTCTTGCATTTAGGTAACAAGATTAGGGAAAATATATTGTTGATGAAATTATACAACAGATGCTTCCCCTCTGTGTGTTCAAGAAATTTGATTGGTTAATTGTAAAAACTTTCAGTGGTACAAAAATCAAATTTCACAGTGGACAAGCAGTTTACACGACAACAAAAAGAAGACCAAAGTCTATAATTTTTTTTTTTGTACTTGAAGCAAAATGTCTGTTTTATCAATTGGTCCTAGAGAAATAAGAATTTAATATAAACCTCTGCATCATTTTTCACACCGAAGTTCAAAACAAGAATGCATGTAACTGAGATATATATTTAAACAATGTATTTAAATAAATTACTGCCAAAGGCATAGTGTATATTCAAGATTTATTGACGTGCCTGTCAATTGTTTTGTATCAATCTTCCTGTCTATTATATATCTATTCTACTTTCATATTTATTTATTTAAGCCAAATGTTTTAATAGTGATTTCAAAGTCCAGCTTAATTTTTCACAAACATACAAAAATAAGCCCTGTGCTCAAACGTCCACCACTCCGGGCGGCAGCACACATCTGTTGCAGCACATACAATAAAAAACAAAGAAAAGAGTTACTTGTGCACTATCCCTAATCCCTATGCACATTAAAATAACCAGAGGTTTTTAGTCTCACTCCAATGGCCATTAAATGAAAACTCACCTGCTACGTCAAGGCAGAATCTCTTAGGTGAGTCCTACGCTAACAATTCACCTTGTTTCTTTAAGCTTAAGGTACAATCTCTAATGAGAAAGAGAGGGGTATTTTTCAAACCCCTCTGTATAACACAGTTATGCTACAGTGCTGCCGCCCACCCCGTGTGTTCCCTATCACGGGTTAATAAGTATGTAGGGGTTTAGAAAAATACCCTTCGCTGTCTCATTAGAGAGTTTACCTTTAGTTGAAGACCACAAAGTGAATTATTAGTGTAGGACTCACCGAAGAGGCTTTGCCCAGGACTACACTGTTAGTTCGTTGGCACAGGCAGAGGTCCAAACAGAGCCTCTCTCAATTCACACGTCTTAAAAAACATCGCATTAATGTATGCAATAAACTGCTCTCAAAGTGCAATTGCTGTGCCAGGTTTTGCTTTACATAAAACTTTTTTAGAACGTCCATCTCTATTTTCTAGTTTCACATGTATGACTAAAGTTCCCATTCACTTGGTTTTTACTCAAAATATTCTTGATTTAAGAACTCCGGAGCTTTAGCCATATTTACAATATTTAACCACGTGTCTTTTTATGGGTACATCTGTGAACATCTTAAACAAGTGGAAAAATAAAAAAAAGCACAATACTATACTCGGCGTGAGCAGAACTCTTCTCCAATTGATATTTTTACTCCTCTGCAGAGAAGTAATTTTCTCTCTGAATCTGACTGATAAAATGATCATGCTAATCATGGACGATAATACATAAAATGTTATTTCTTGTGCAAACATTGGAAAGATTCCTACAGCTAAAGGGCAGCGTGGTAGAAGATGCCATCTGTTTTTCCACAGATCATATCTCACTCTGTATGGACCTAATTAAACAACAATTTGTGTGCGACCTGCCAGCTTGAAGATACACAATTACATTTTGTTTGGAAATGCGCTGAAAATGCTCCGGTAGACGGCTGACATTTTATGCTCTTTAACCTGTGGTTATATCAGAAGAGATGGTAAAAAAGTATAAATGCATTTCTAAGGTAGGTAAATGAAATCCAAAGCTACGGAATATGCGGAATATGGCTGATTCTATTGCTCAATTCAGTCTAACGGAACAATTGAAATTACTGAAATAAAAAAATCAATTTTTGTTTAAGTACCTTGAAGGATAGTCAACCTGTATGTTTAAGCAAGTTATGAAATTGCTTTCACTGGAGACTGATTGATAGGTCAAGAAATGTTACCAGTTTTTTTTTCTCCTTTTTATTGAAATGTAAGTGTTTTTTTTGCAACTTAAGAACTGAAGAGTTGCTACAATGGAAGTGAAAATGCCAATGAGAATAGAAAAAGAAAAGATTATGATTAAAATGAAGACGCAGTGGAAGCTAGAATGTGATTTCATGATTAATGGACCAATATGTGACCTTTTGTAAATGTACAGCTGAAAAAAAGTTAAAGAGACAGTTCTTCTTTCAACGTAAAAATATATCACACACACACACACACACACAAACACACACACACACACACACACACCCCATGAATATATTTGATATGGCAAATTAAAAAAAAATGTTTGTTTTTTTGTTTGGTAAAAGGAATGGATCCTGTCTTATGTTTTTATTTTTTTTCAATTAAGAGACTCTACAAATTGTAGATTTGCTGCTTTTGAGATCTCTTGCACAATATTGCACAGAATATATTTAAATACTGTATATTTATAGTGGGTTTTTTTTATCAAGGGAGTGCAAGTCCCTGGAGTTGGAACTGCAGAGCCACAGCATCAACATGCAATGCCTTGGCTAAGCAACAGACAACCAGTTCTTGAAACTCTGAGGATGATAATGCAAACATTATCTTAACTAGCTGCCAAACGTTAACTTCAATTGTTTTTCATATAAGCCATGAATTGAAAATAAAGAATCGCGTTTGGACTGTTGTGCTTTTGGTTATATAATTATATAAGCAACAAAGAAATTCCCCAGGCACTCAAGGTGTTAAAGCCGCAGGCAGTTTTAATGAAACAAAAGTAACAGCAACGTTTTGACCTCCTAAGAGGTCTTTTTCAAGCATTTCAAATACTTCTTAGGAGGTTAAAAGTTGCTGTTCCTTTTGTTTCATTAAAACTACCTGCGGCTTTAACACCTTGAGTGCCTGGGGAATTTCTTTGTTGCCTTGTCGTTGTGGGATTGCTGGCAGTGCTCCGGAGCACCGTGTGGCTGCTGGGATTGAGTGCGGCTCCTACCATCACTTTTGCAATATAATTATATAGAACCAGTCACACCATGCATCACACACAGATACATATTTACACAATCAAACAGACGCTCACAGGTACGAAAAAAATCTGTTCAAAACAATTACTTTTTTCAATGAAAATAACTTTGCAGTGAAGAGGTTAATTAATTATATTAATTATACATTTGTGTAAAGTTGGGTAAAAGGTGAAAGGTGTCAATCCAAATACCAAGCTGCACACCATAACTATTATAAAAATGGACAAATCTTTATTTACTTAACAAATGGTAACATAATTATCAGGCAACAAATACAAAAATACACACAACAAACCAAAGTGAATACAGGCTGGAAAATATATCAAAGTTACACAATTATTCTCACCAGCCTACCAAGGCAAAGCACAGGCTACTTCACTCCCAATGTTTCGGCACTCAATTAAATGCCTTTCTCAAGGGAATCTTTCACCATCCCTTACCTGGACTCATGTATATATATCCCAAAATACAGCTGATGGCCATCAACACAAATTCCCGATCGAGGCCGGAAGTGACATCACTTCCAGTTACATATAAACAATGATTGTTCAGCATAGAGAAAAAATGGTAAATCTCAAACAAAAAAAGAAACTACTATGGATCTAAAATAGATCCAAGAAAAAAGATGCAAAAATTATCTTGCCTGATATCTGTGCAACTTGTAGTGGCCTGTGTCTTGCCTTGGTAGTCTGCTGAGAATAATTGAGTAACTTTAGAATATTTTCCAGCCTCTATTCACTTTGGTTTGTTGTGTATATTTCTGTATTTACTGTATGATATTTATGTTACAATTTGTTAAGTAAATAAAGTATTGGCTATTTTTATAATAGTTGTGGTGTACAACTTGGTCTTTGGATTGATATAATTGTTTTGGTACCTAGGGTTGTACCTATCTTAGCTTGCACCTAGTTGTGTGTTATATAATTAGTAGAGCTTATCCGCCCATGCAATATTGTTGTTATAAAAGGTGAAAGGTGACCACCCAGGGAAAGTTGGGATTTTGGGATTAGTTGTTTGGCTACATTGAGGACTTAAAATGTTATGGACTTTTTGTAGGTATAAGGCTAAGAGGTATAGGTAGTAGTTTGGTGTAATAAAATGGGTGTCAGCCGGAAGGGCTGAGGAGCATCCAAGAACCTGTCCAGTATGACATTTATCTTATGCCAGAATGGCATGATCATGGGACAGCCCCACCATAGTTGGGTAATGGTGCCATCCTTTCAAGAACAGCGTCAACGTTTGTTATCATTTTTGTATCTACTGCATGTAAGAATTTAGGGGTGATATATCAGCAGGATGATAATTTATATGTTGTTCCCTGTGTATTACTAGAGATCGAGCATTGTTGTATGAGGTCACAAATATTTTCCCATTAGGATTACGAGTACCCATAATGGCCTCCCATTTGCTCATGAAAACACGTGGTTTGGCCCAATTGGTTTGGAATGAGGAGTAGAGGTTAGAGACCCTGTGGGCCAGAGGAAACAAATATTGACAGGTCTGCTCAAAAGGTGTTAATTTCTGCCTGAATATGTGTTGATGAGCAATACTATTCTGAGGAAGCGTTTGCTCATAGCCAGATTAGTCTGGTGATATTATTACCCCGCCTTCTACTACGGCATGTTGAGCCTGGTCTCCCTAACAGCATTTATATTCATCAGTCATACTCTAGGTATGATACCAATAGAGGCATTTGTATCATCTTGAGAGCAGGTATTAAGCATGTTTCCTTCCTGTATAATTTTACCTTTAATGGATAATCCTCATGATGCAGGCATAATTGATTTATGGTGATTTTTATCTCATAGTACATCCATGCTTATCATATTTATTTAATCATGTGTCCACTACTCATGCATATCCAACAAAAATCTGTGTTTCCTGATGTATTCTTGTTTTTACTTGCATTGTTAACGTTTATTTTTATTCGTAGTAAAAAACTAAAATGTGCAGCTTATCTTGACATGCCAACTCATGTTTCATATGTCAATACATGTATGTGTTCGTATCACTGCACAAAACAAATTAAGAATTAAAAAAAAAAATCTAAATCAATGACATTAAAACTTTTAAAGTCTGTTTTACTTTTTGATCTATTTACCTAAACAATAAGTGGCTGCATAATGACAGCCAGTTACCAAACACTAGATCGAAAATTGGCATTTTTGTTAAAATAAGGCTAGAATCAGCATTTTAAAATCCAGCAAACATTCAAATGCTTTCAACTCATTTTCTTGTTCTCTCTCAATATTACCTTTCTCCCATTAGAACATCTACTTATTAATTCTAAGAATAAACTAAAAAAAAGGATCAAATTAAAAGAATTTCTTTGCAGAGGAGGGCAAAGCCTTTACTCAATTGTTTACAAATTAAATTGAAAACCTGACACGCCTGATCTATGTTGCACCTCATTTACACAGAAGATAATGTATTATTGATGGATTCTATATATTTTTTTCATGGTACCTTAGGAGTTGAGTAGAACTGCAAATTAAATTCATAATATATTCTTAACCCTAAAATATATAAATAAATGATATCAGTAACCTTAGCAACTCAGATTCAAAGAACATATTTAATACATTTTCTAATCAAAATAAAACTTTTATGCTACCAAATTGTTTCCAAAGAATATCAAGAGACCAGCCAATTAGTACATCTTTCCCTGCAGACAACAAGCGACTTCCAGGTATCAATTATTGAAGAATCTTCATTAACAGACATCAGCCTGTGTCCTGTTTTGAGACATAAGCGTAACAGTTAGATGTAAGATCTAGGAGGTGCCACTCTCAGAGGTTTCATTAATTTGTTCTTAAATTAAAAAAATAAATTTAATTTGTGTACAAAGGAATGTGTGGTTGTACGGATATAATAAACTCCTTTCTTTGCTTTGGGTGATTCTGGTGTCTTAGACACCACGGAGGTAATATGAGAAAATAATTTTTTTAGGCTATAAATTGATTGCACTGGCATGCTTAGGAACAGTCAATTAAAAGAGAAGCAGTAATGAATTTTGATTAAACTTGTGTTTAGAGATTGTGCTGTGGTCCCCAGACAGAGCTTTGTGGATGTTTAATGGATGACAAGCTAAACTGCATAGAAGAGAAAACACAGTTCCTGGTACTTGGGATGTTGTGGAATGTAGACACAGGACTAATCTTTTAAATTAGAATGGCCTGCAAAATATTATAAGTGTAAGTCTCTTCTATGTAATACTCTGAAGTAGACGTCTTTCATATTTTAAAAAAATGGCCAACTTTTTTACTATTAACCCTTTAAGGACCAAACTTCTGGAATAAAAGGGAATCATGACATGTCACACATGTCGTGTGTCCTTCAGGGGTTAAAAGATCAGTACAAAGACTATGCAATCATAGAATTCATAATATATATCATGTATGTTGGCTAGCCATGGAGATTTTTAGATGGGTTTCATGAGTGACTAGAGGCTATTCACTAAACTTTTTTGGCTAATGTAATATATCTCTAACCTCTTGAAAATGCAATGAGCCAACCAGGGCCGGCGCTACCTGTTAGGCGGA